TCATGATATTTTATGAATGGTGATATATATTGATGATTAGGTCTTGTTCATTTTTGTGAAAATGAAAAGATGAAATGTGGACTTTCAAACTCCTAACCTAAAAAAGTTTACTCTTGGACAATTTCATGATTTTTTATGTAAGTATCATGTGATTAATTAATTTTAGAAAAGTTGTGAAAATTATTATTTGTAGAGAGTTGGGAAAGATTGGCTATTTGAGTAGCTTGGCATGAAATATGAGTGTAATTGAGGAATGAGACATGTAAAGTTATGTTTTGGTGTTCTTAATTTGGAAGATGGTGAATATAATGAACTTACTAATTTGATGGATTAAATTAGTTTGGTTAATATTTTAAATCCTTCGTAATTAAAAGTGTGTTATTGAGATTATATCATAACTTTTAACATAGTAGGATGAAAATGGTAATATTCAATAAGTATGAGATATTGGTGGAAATTATTTTGGTCATCTTTAGTTGAGGTGGAACAAAGTTGATTGACAATTTTGTGTAAGTCAAAAAAATTAGGAAATTGATTATTGGTTTTAATAATTGGAGTATGCTAATTAATTAATTTTAGAAAAGTAGTGAAAATTATTATTTGTAGAGAGTTGGGAAAGATTGGCTATTTGAGTAGCTTCGCATGAAATATGAGTGTAATTGAGGAATAAGACATGTAAAGTTATGTTTTGGTGTTCTTAATTTGGAAGATGGTGAATATAATGAACTTACAAATTTGATGGATTAAATTAGTTTGGTTAATATTTTAAATCCTTCGTAATTAAAAGTGTGTTATTGAGATTATATCATAACTTTTAACATAGTAGGATGAAAATGGTAATATTCAATAAGTATGAGATATTGGTGGAAATTATTTTGGTCATCTTTAGTTGAGGTGGAACAAAGTTGATTGACAATTTTGTGTAAGTCAAAAAAATTAGGAAATTGATTATTGGTTTTAATAATTGGAGTATGCTAATATGCTATTTTTGTACATCAAACTCATATATGAGATATTGGAATTGTAAAGTGAGGGTTTGGTTAAATTGGGAGTTGATTACCTATAATCTTACTCTTTAATGCATATTCTGTATATAAAATTGCATGTGGGTATTTGAAAGTGAGAAAGTCCCAATTTGTGAAAGATCCTAAATGTTGATGTTTTGGGAGTTGTTAGTTTGTTTGGAAAAGATTATGTTTGGTTTTAAAATTGTTGAGTTTGATGGAAAACTATGTAAGTTTTGAAAGTTTGGCTTTAAAAGGTGAAATATGGATTGTTTCCAAGTGTTCGGAATCATAAGGGATTCCACGTTATGGTTGCTTGTTGGATTGTATATCCATGTTGTTATCTTTTAATTAATGCATTAGAGATAACTGTTTTGACTATCAACGGAGGATAGTATTGATTGTTGTAGAAATTGCATGAAGATTAGGTGAACGGAAACTAATTTTCTCATCCATTTGCATCGAACGTTGTCACATCTTTAATACATTGTAAATGTATGATGTTTGGGAGAAGAAAGGGGATGTACTCCATGTTTTGGGAGAAGAAAGGATATGTACTCCATTGAATTAAGTTGGCCAGAGTGTCTAGGGTGAAAGTCTCGAAAATTACACGTATACATAGGTGCCAATCCTGCAGACGAAATTTCCATGAAATGGCAATAGTAGCACTTGTATAGCCTACGTTTACATGGGTGCTGGTTTATGGTTTCCTATAGACGAAATTTCCATGAAACGTTATGTTTGATAGAGATTCCCAGTGTGTGTATTTACCGCCTGTTTTCTACTTTGAAGAGAAGACATACATATAACTCATATTATAAACTTTGGTATCATATTTGTTTTGAAAAGAATGTCTTGTTAACATTGAAGTATGTTAATTTATTTAAGTTAACAAGTGTGGTTAATTAATTAAATTTGGATTTAAGGAATTAGGTAATAAAATAATAAGGTTATGGCATGATATGACTTTGTAGATATCTGTTTGGCATCACTGTATCACTAGAACAACATTTGTTTTAATGTTATAATATGAGATTATTTGGTGAGCTAGTGGTTTGCTCACCCCTTACTTGTACATGTGTACAAGAAATGTTTTCAAATTTGAGGACCAAACAACTTGGCATGGTTATAGAGTGGTGATGAGCCGTAGTGCTTTTTAGTTGTTTCTTTGGCTGAGTTTTGTGCTTTGTAAAGAGCAACGCTCTCTTATTTATTATAAGCCACGGGGCATTTCTTTTATTTGTATGTAAATGACATTGTTGTATAACAAGAGGAAACATGTATATTTAATTATTCATCATTTCATCAAATGATGAATTGTCATTTGTAAATGGACTTAATTAATGAATATTGGTAATGTTATCCAAGTAATAAAATACGAGGCATGACACAATATAAATCCTCATACAATGTCTACAACAATCAAGACTATCCTCCACTGATAGCCCAAAATAGATATTTTTATTCCATAGATAAATTCAATTCAAAATATACAATTTCATCAATTACAATGGGAGTGATAATACATATCCAACTCCACCATCATCATCATCATCACCATCATAAACCTTGTTCCAATTTCACAATATCCAACAATGTTTTCCATTTTCTGTCACAATCCCCAAATATTCAAAATTAGGGCAAAACCCCATTTTCTGACAAAATCAATTTTAAGAAAAGATTTCTATCATCTCAACTCAAATAATCCATAACCATTTTCCCCTAACCATTTTCAAGAATCAATTTGGAAAACCCCTCTTTTGATCTCAAACGAAACCCTAGATTTTACCAAAAATCCGCAAATAACTAACCCCTTTTCAAAGAGCAAATAATTAAGCTAAAAATCATATAAGGAGTCAAAGGAATCCCTACCTCAAAGAAAAAGCCACGAAGGAAAGATGGGTAGACTTGACATTGTCAAAAACACTAGATGCTCCAATCAAAACGAAGTCCTCGATGTGCTCAACATTTTTCTCCAAAGAACTAGGGTGAGGAAACTCACAGATTGAGAGTATTTAGGCCTAAAAATCAAGAACTAGAGAGAGAGAGAGTAGATCTAGGGTTTTGGAATGTTTAGAGAGAGAGAGAGAGATGAAAAATTGATCCAAAAAGTACTCCTCTTGGACTGATATACGCTTAGACCGCTTGAGGGCAAGAATGGTCGCTCAAGCAACAGACATAATAAGTGACACTGCTCAAGTAACCAAAACCACTGCTCAAGCACATAATGACCCCCTTCCAATAGTTCAAACCTATAAAAGTTTGCTCAAGTGCAAGAAAGACTGCTCGAGCAAAGATTTCAAACTCCTAGTAGTTTTACAGACTGTAAAACCGCTCAAGCGAACAAGCAAAAATTCTAGGCAACAACACTTTGAAAAACTAACCTCCCAACCTGTTTCAAACACAACCAAAGCTCCCAATAGAAACACTCAACAAACAATAAGATGGAAATGAGCTGAACAACAGTTAAACACATGGGTTCTTGGATCCAAAAACAATAAATGGGTCAGATCTAAACCAAAATCATTATACCCATTTTGAAGTGGTCTGGAAGGGGTGAATGTAATACATTTTTGTAATTGAGGGAGTCAAAATGCACAAGTTCATAGATTAGGGGATCAAAGTAATATTCGCTATTTGTTTAGGGGGTCTTGGTGTGATTAACTCAAAACAAAATATATGAATTAGATTTATTTAAGATATGGCCCACATAACACTAAATTAATTAAACCAAGAGGTTCTGGCCTATGTGGCTAACCGTTTGGCCACCAAATCTCTCTTAAGGAGAGTCTTGTGTTTCACTCTTAGGAATGAAATGAGAGACAATACTTAAGTGACTGCAAGGTGTATAAGTTTATGTGCTAATCTAACAACGAACTATTAAATTTTGTCAATAAAAAAAACAATTAAATGTACATTATACACTACACTTTTGGGATACATTTACAAAGGTAACTACTTTTAGACTAACATTGTGAAAGTAAAACTTAAGAAAGAAAGCCTAGTCAACATATAGTATGCAAGAATCGCTAAAAAAAATTAAAATAAATAAATAAAAACATAGAATACAAGAATGCTAATATGTGACAAGCTCTAGAGAGAATTAAAAGAGTTTTGTGGCAACAAAATACATGAAATGAGATTAAAGAAAGCCTTCATCAAGAGCCGTTCATACATCTCAATTCTATTGGTAAAAGTGTTAACATTCCACCTAAAATTCTACTCTACTTCATAATGGGAACTTTCAATTGGGCACACCAATTTGTGTCATTGTATGACAATACTACAACATCTATGTTGATAGACATCTTGTTAAAACCCACAATTATGAACAACTTATTTCAACAAACATTCCTAGAAAAAAAAAATTGTAACATAGGTCAGACCAAAAAGCTAACATATATTTCACTTTCTCAGGTTCAAATTCAAGAACTTGCATCTTAATCAAGGAGATTACATACTTTTGTTGCAAAAAAAACTTCATAAAATTTTCCAAAAAAAAGTAGTACCGAGAGGTCATGCACACTTCAACGAGGTGAAACCAAGCTTGTCGCCAATGAGGATTTATGAACAAAATTGCAACAATCCCCAGCAACACAATAATATATAAGACTAGAAAGCTGACAAAGAAAACCTCCATATCTATGAAACCACCATCGTCAATCTTTTTTTCCAGGCCTTTTGACATTGTTGATGTTGGTACAATTCTATTGCAGTTGGTTTGCAAGGGAAGTCCGCCGAGAAGGGGATTTCCCTCATAGCTACTTTCTTTAAAAGTTTCAAACTAAGCTTTTTGGTCTGGGGTCGCACCTGATAAGTTGTTGTATGCTACACTAAAGACTTCCAACTTGTCCAATTCAATCAATTGAGAAGGGATCTTTCCATTCAATCTATTGTAAAAGAGATCCAAACTTTCTATCTGCTTTAGTTGTGATAATGTTGATGGGATTGATCTGAATAAATTGTTATGAGACAAGTTTAGATCATAGATCTTGCTCAAGTTTCCCATTTCCAATGGGATTTCCGTATTAAGTGGTTACGAGAGAGATCAACTCTAGACATGTAGTCCAAAATATTGCCTTTATATGCATAGGATTCATACTTTGTTGTGAACTCCACTTTTTGTTGGACATCCAAAGAGGGAAAGGTAATACTTCCAAATCCATTTACAGCATCCATCTGATAATGGTCTCCTATTGACTTTGACCCATCGACAAAGCTCCACAATGCAACCATTGCCATACCTGCCATAGCTATAATTTCTAGAGAAGATTTTTCGTGCGTTGTCTCAAAAGGTATTTCACAAAAACTAAGAGGTATGGAACCAGAAAAGTTATTTTCAGAAAGGTCCAATATGCTTAATTGTTTCAACTGGCATAACTGACTTGGAATTTCACCTTCAAAATTATTAAATTTTAGGGGAAGAATGCTCAACACATGAAGGCTTCCAATCCAACTGGGAATGGTACCAGTTAGGTGGTTATCACTCAGATCTAATGTCACCAAAGCTGTATGCGCCATTAGGCCGCTCAACTGGTTTCGGTTCAAGTGGACATGTTTTACTGTTGATTGGTTGAAGCAAGACGGTATAGAACCAGACAAGTTATTCACCGAAAGGTCTAAGAACTCAAGATTACCAAGTTTGCAAAACTCTACTGGAATAGGACCTTCAAAGTGATTTGAGAACATAGAAATTCCCATTAGATCAGACATGTTCCCCATCCATCTTGGAAGCTTTCCAGACATGTGGTTGTTACTAATACCAAACGCTAGCAAAAAAAAAGAAATATATACACTATTTGGAAATTTGCCCATGAAATGATTATTGTCCAAATATAAGTATTGCAACATGGTTAAATTTACAAAAGAAAGAGATATTGGCCAGAAAAATTATTGTTTGATAGTTTGAAGAAGAATAAAAAAAGGCAACCAATTGTCAAATGCTTTGGTATCTGTCCAGACAAATTATTGTTAGATAAGTCCAAAATCTCCAAATAGTGCATATCACCTAAAGAAGTAGGAATGTGACCTTGAATAAGGTTTCTAGATGAATTTAAATTCCTCAAATTTGGAAAGATTGAACCTATATTTGTTGGAATTGGGCCCTCAAGATGATTGTCAAAAATATCAATTGAATTGGCATGGGGATTAGGATATGATGGCAGTAGGAAAGGTCCCATGAGGGAGCAATTTATTAGATGAAAAACTTTCAATCGCGTATTGTTTTCTAACAGCCAAACTCTGAATGTCCCGACCAAGATGTGTGATAGATCAACTATTCTGAGGTCATATTGGTAAAAGAGAAAATGTGGAAATTTCATACCAAGATTGTTTGAACCACAGTTTGATAAACTGAAAACCTTTAGTTGGAACTTTAAAAACCATGTTTGAAACTCAATTTTATCACTCAATCTGTTGTTGTCACCTAAAAATACCTTAAGCTTTGAATGGTTACAAAATGAAATAAATGAGACTGGGATTCAAAATGGTTGTATGAAAGGATAAGATATTCAAGTGCTGTGAGATTGCTAAGGGGAGATGAAGTAAGATTTCCAATGAACTGATTAAAAGAGAGGTCCAATATTCGAATTGATGTTAAGTCTTCTAAACATGAGGGAAGCATTCCATTAAAACCATTCTCACTGAGATCTAACTCTTGGAGGTTAGAAAGTTCACACCAACCTATGAAATAAAAAAAGTGATGCTTAGCTCAGACATTTTATCTGCATGGAGGCACATTCAAATCATAACACAATTAATCCAAGGAATATGATCAAACTGCGAATACCTTGGTTAGGTAGGGTTCCATTAAGGTTAATATTCCACAATGTCAGCACCCTTAAGGAGGACATTACTCCAACATTATGAAGAAAGATCTTGTCAATGAATGAATAATCCAAATACAACTCCTGTAAGTGTTTCAATCCATCCAACCCTGAAAGATGTAGCTATAGAATTATCCACTAAAAATTATATGCCTTGAAAATATGGTGATTTCTTACATGAAAGTCACAAAGAATCTTGAAATATCAAATCATTGTGATAAGGTGATGCATCAAGGCCTAATACCTCAACCATATAACAAAAGACAACAAAAAAGGTTATGGTACACACTTCTTATGATATGAAAAGAAAAAAAAAAAAAAAAAACTTGAAATTTTGCAGTATTAGTTATAAGGGCAAATTACACCAATGGTCACTACATTTTGCCCCTTGTGTCATTTTGGTCCCTACATTTTCAGTTGGTTTAAATTTGACTCTTAATTTTAGATTTTATGTCAATTTAGTCCAATTGATAATGCTGGCAGTGTTTTTGACAAAAAAATTATCACTAATCTGGTGAAATTAACTCACTAAGTTGAGTAAATTTATATTTTTGCCCTCAAAGTTATGACACATGCCACTTATATACGTATTTTTCATAAAAAAAAATGTAAAGAATTGTAATCAATTGGACCAAATTGAGATAAAGTTATAAACTCAGGATCAAAATCGAGTCAATTGAAATTAAAAGGACTAAAATGACACAAGAACTAAAGTACAGGGACTACCGTTATAATTTACCCTAGTTACAAACTACTGTGGCTATGTTAGGAAGGGGTGCACTATAATAAAAGTATTAATCACGAATTGTTTGGGTTACAGTACAACCTAATGAGGTTATGTTATATACATTAAGAAATTATGAATTATTGTGGTTATGTTATATACATTCATTAAGAAATTATGAACTATTATAATGAGAAAAATTATGAATCATTGTGGTTTTGTTACAAATCATTTGTACTATAGCCTTTCCCTAACATGACAGATCTAATAGAGCTTCCTGTTATTATATAATGAAAACGTTACACCTACTAACGTGGCATGCAATATAGAGCTTGAGAATTTAAGATGGGATCCAGTAAATTAACACGATAGAAGCCACATCAATTTGAATAAAATGTTTATGTTTTTTTCTTTCTATAATAATACTCTCACTACATGGCGTATTATAACGTTTTGTTTATGGCATTTATGAAAATGCCATTATAGATTAATTAAACACAACTTTTTCAAAATGTTGTCTCTAATCTTTGATGAAGCTCTTCTTGGATTGTCCAGTTTGGACAGTTCAGGAGCACAAGTCTATGTTATAATTAGTAGTTATACCACTTAAATGTAGTCCATCTCATAGAGATTTCGTGTAGTAGCTCCTCATTGTGATAATTTGTTTCCAGGTCCGCTCGAGCGGGGAAGCCGCCGCTCGAGCGTATAATTGTTACCCTCAGTATTTTGTTTCATTGTAGGCATGTCCGCTCAAGCGTTGGAAGTCCCACTCGAGCGTGAAATGCTAGCTTCCAGTAATTCCACTATAGCACTGTAAAACCTCTGACACTCCTCTTTCTCCGCTCGAGTGGGGAAGTCATTGCTAGAGTGGGCCTCCTTGATCGTGTCTGGACGCTCGAGCGTGGGAAGTCACGCTCGAGTGGGGAACGCGATGACAGCTTTTTAACCACAGCAACTTTAGATCATTTTCACACCTCTCTTTTTCTATTCTTGATTCCTCTTTCCCCTCTCTTGGAAACCCTAGATCTCCATCTTTAAATAGCTTCCATACCATTGAAATCCACCCAAATCTGTTGGTTGGGGATGAAGAACACTTGGAGGATAGCATTATCTTCCGATTGGATTGGGGATTTGCAATAGATTCATGAAGGAGTTCGAATTTGGGCTTGATAGTTGAGGTAGGGATACTTTTACTCTTGTATCTCTTTATTCTTGAAGAAATTTCATGGTATGGTGTGTGATTGGGAACCAATTGAAGATGTAGTGAACTAATTGAAGTTTTGTTGGTTAAAACCCATTTTTCAATCAATTATTCTTTTATTTAATATTTTGTTTGAAATCCCTAAATTTCACTCCCTAACATAAGTGTAGATAGAGTTAAGGAACTAGACTAGTAGCAAGGTGTAAAAATCCCTCAAATTTAGAGAAACCCTAAGTTCCCAAATGGTAACAAAATGCTCTAGTTAATGGAACATTCAATTGACTCATGGAGTATAGTGGATAATGGGGAGATAAAATATGGGTATTGATGTAGTTAAAGAGATGATGACTTGAATGTTATTATTCCTTGAGTTTTGTGTGATGTTTATCTATGATAGTGATACATGATGTTTAATTGTGAAATTGACATGTGATTTAATTATTGGTAATGCATGAGTCCATGTGCGAGTTGGTAATGTGTAAAGGTGGTGTTGTGTTGTACCCGCGTGAGGAGTTTTAAAAGGTGCCCAATTGCCCTGTCTAGACTTATCGCTGGATGAATGTGGAAAAATGTTTTTGGGTGTCCACATAGTCCCGCCGTATAGTAGTCGGCGAAAGTGAAAAAACGGATGATTTTCTTGGGTGCCACTCTCCGCCGCATAGTAGCCGGTGAATGTGGGGGTTGTTTACAAAAAGAATTGGTTGTTCTCACTTGGGTTCATGTGATGGAATGCTTGTAGATTGATTTCTTAGTTATGAATGTTTCCTTATTTAACTAGATATCACTATTTAAATTTATCTGAATTAGATTGTGAAGGTTCTTGTGAGATATGGATTATACATATACTTAATTGCGAAACACCTTTGTTTGTGTTGTTATTTCACATGGATGCCATATTTTGTTCAAGGGATTAGATACATGGAAAAATGTATTCCTACTGGGCATATAGCTCAACCCTAACTTATTTTTTCAGGAATTGAGGAAGGTCAGCCTCGATGAAGAACCGGTTCAAATGCTAGCTCTAGCTTCTTTTGGGGAGTTAATTAAAGTCAAGAGCATCTAGTTGTCTGTATTTATTTTTGGGGATTTTGTAATGAAACTTTTGTTTGTAACTTTGTAAAAATGTATGCCCTGAGGACTCATGTCTTGTTGAGTCATCTAGGTCATTGAACTAGGACAGGACCTCGAATATTGTGGGCATGTAATATTTGAAATGTAATTACTCAAGTCTCAGTTCAATGGGAAAGATTACCCATTTTGGGATTTTATGAATATGTTACCAGTGTGGATAACAGGGTGAATTTACAGGGCGTTACACTCATGTTCTCTGGGGGCATACTAGACAAGGTATAGTAGTACACCCAGCCTATGTCGTGTACTTGGAGAACCATGGGGAGATGCTGCCGAAATTTCGTTAGAGATGGATAGATCGGTATAAGCTACTTTTTACAATATAGATTGTGTATTCTGAATGGGAAAGTAGGATGAACCAACCTATTAGACTAGAGTTAGAAGTGAATGGTGTCATGTCGCATGCATTATAAGGTACTTAATTGAGGTTAAGAATAATTAAAATGAAATGATAATTTTGAACTTTGATGATTTGGCAGCGACATTTGCAGTGTAAGACGAAGTCAGATGGATAAAAGTTGGATGAATCAGCATAGGTTGTACCCAGAATATATAGAAGGGGTTAAGGAATTTGTTAAACTTGCATGCCAAAATAATCCTCTATCAAATGAAGTGACATGCCCATGTAAATGGTGTCGGAATGTCAAACTAGTAAAGAAAGACCTTTTAGAGGAACATTTAATGGTCAGTGGGTTTCTTCCAAGCTACACCGGATGGATTTTTCACGAGAAAGATTTATCGATGTCTGTGCCATTGAATGGAAATATCAGTGATTCGAATGATGGCGATGATGTCAATGAAATGATATATGAGGGGTTCGGACTTCTTCCACTAAGCTTGGTATGTGTAAACATTTATTTTATATATGTAAACAGTTTTTTTTTTTAACAATTCTTATCTCTTTTTTTTCTCTCTTTTTCCTAACTTGTCTAGATGCATAAGTGGTTGTTTTGAAGAATGTTACTCTGCAGGTGGTGGTTGAAAGGTATTCAAAGACAAACCACCTTGAGATAGAAAAGAAAAGGTATACTTGTCCAAGAGCAGGAGCATTACTTGTTAATGATATATTTGTCCAGAAAATATGCTCATCTACGAGCAGGAGCATTACTTGTTAATGGTATATTTGTCCAGAAAATATACTTGTCCAGGAGCAGGAGCATTACTTGTTACTTGAAACGGTTACTGTGTTTAAACATTTAGGTGTTGTAAATGAGTTTCCTTTTCAATTTTTTCACTACAACAATCTACACCTTTGGTGACCACTTTTGGCTACTAAAACATTTTTAGTCGCCAAAAGCTAGCCCTTTACCGACAAATTTTCCTGTTGGTCGGCAATGATTTAATTTTTAGCTACTAAATTTTTTTAGTAGCTTTTAGTAGCCATATGTTAGTAATTGGCGACTAAAAAAATATTTAGTAGCTAAAAATATGTCAATAGGCGGCTAAAAAAGTTTTAGTCAACATTTGCTTACATTTTAGGCTACTAATTTTGATTTTAGTCAGCGTACACAGCCTTTTGCCAACCAAAATTTCTTTTAGTCGCCAAAAACAGGTTTATTTATTGCAACCATCAATGACTAAAACACTATAGTCGTGGATGGGTAGTTAGTGCCGAGAAAAACATTTTTAGTAGCCAATATTAAATAAACAGCTACAAACTTTTAGTCACTATTGATTACATTTGCCGACCAATTTTTATTTAGTCGCGAAAGGTAGGGAATTTTTTTTAGAGGAAAATATTGGCGCCCTTCCCTCTTTCTTTCATACAGATCTTTTGTCTGTTTTGTCTCACAAACACACAGACCACCAGTACACCAAACCAAACGCATGCTCACTAACGGTCACCACCTCACCATCACTGGCCACCGTCGATCACCATCTCATTGTCGCACGTCGCCACCGCCGCAAATCACCACCTCTACTACTGCAAATCACAGGTTCTTGTCCCTCTCTCTCTGTTGCTCTCGATCCTCTCCCTCCCTGTCGATCTGGGTCTCTCTTTCTCTTTCACTGTCTCAAGCCATCTCTCTGCTTCTCTCTCTCTCTCTCCTCCTATTTTTCGATCTCTCACAGTTCATATAGGGTTTATATGACTTTTTGAGAAAATAAAGGACGACAACAACCATTATACAATGACAGAATCTACGGAACCTAAGTCCGGATACCATAATCAAATGGGAAAAGACCGAGGTCACTATATGTTTGATGTCTATGAAATTATGTTATTCTTCATGTCCAAAATTGGATTGATTTTAGTTTTATGGGTTTGACGGACAAAGAAACTCTCTGTCTCACTCACTCTCTAAGTTGCCAATTGGTTATTAACAAATATCTAAACAGAACTTTTGATTTGTTATAGGGGTACTCAATTTACTTAACACATTATTATAAATAAATTCATAAATTAAATATGTAAGTTTCTAGCATTATCACAATGATATCATGGCATACTTTAAGCACCTCAATGAGTCATTATGATTAACTTCAAAAAACTTGTACACATTTCCCAACACCATAATAATAAAACTTTATGGCAAATGCTAGAGGCAGAGCAAAGTGTATACTATTGCTTCAACCTTGGAGTCTTGCCCTCATTTGACTCATCTCCAGGATATGAAACATAGCAAATCTGATAAAAATGTCGGGTTGCAGTAATCACTGGAACTCATGAAAGTTAAGTGAAGAAATGCAAAGAACATTCTATCAATAAGGAATGAAATTCCAGACAAATATGAATCCAGACCTTTTCAGCCTTTTTTAGTGCCTCATATGCTTTAGCATGCTCTCCAGCATTAAAAACACGAAAATCTAAATTTTCTGGTGCAACTTTTGTGGACCACAATCGAAGGTTAATAGTGGTTTTAGTTTTATATCCTAGTATGGGGACATCATAGGCAACAACTATAATATCTTCTCCTCTAACCCATTCTTTCTTTCCATCTTCACCAAGAATAACTTCACCATAGAATTTCACTGGGTAAGAGACATCATGTCTTACAATTTCCCAAGGATTGCCCATCTGATGAGGGAAACTTTAATAAGTCAACAGATAAGAGAAACCTAAACATTGAGAAAACATGTAGTTCTTGAGAACAAATAAGCACAAAGTTCTTGCTAAAGGCTTATGAAATTGGAAGCATGTGAATTATGTTTCACTCTATTAAGTTTTTCTGCAAGAAAAAAGAACTGAAGCAAATCATACCTCAAGCCAACTTTCTGCAACTTCTTCCTGACCATCTGTTGTAATGAGCTGTTTGAACAAGCCATAGTTGTATCTAAATCTGTAACCCCATGCAGGTTCAGTGTTGCCAAAGAGTCTAAGAAACAGGAGGCTAGCCGCCCTGATCCCCCATTTCCAAGTGCAGCATCTGGTTCCTGTCAATGAAATAGTTAACAGATTCCAGAAAGTCCCAATGTATTAGATAAATATACCCCAATGTATGCCAAATCTTGAAGCATATTAATTTTTGCAGCTTGGTGAGGGTTTAAATGCGGAGACAGGAAAAATATCATGCAACAGGATTATCAAAAGTGATAACAGATAATGTTATGGCCACAGAAGTGTCGTGCTATGACACGTGCATCGTGTGAAAACACTTCTACATTCTTTACCACACCATAAAAAACTAGTAAACAAATAATCTAAATTACATGTGACACGAATATCTCCAAAACTATTTTTCATTCATAGTTTTCGTTCGTTCTTTCTTTCTTTCTTTCTTTTTTCTTCTTTTTGTTCTCTTCTATAATTTTTTTCACAAACCCAAAATAATAATTTATAATTTTTTTCACAAACCCAAGGAAATTTGAAGTTAGAAATGTTACCAACCACCATGCTTACTTCATCGATATGCAGAAATGAGTGTGCAGCATATGATTCTGTATAAATTATTGGAAATTCAATTTAGTAATAGGAAGAATTATTAGAGTATAGTAGTCAAAGGGAAGAAATGGGAGCTTCAATTCAATGTGAATGAACACTAATGCATATATGTATGTATGTATGTATGTATGTATGTATGTATGTATGTATAAACATGTGTGTGTGTGTGTGTGAGAGAGAGAGAGAGATGAGTAATACATCCCTATGCGCAGTGGTAGTACACCAGACTCCCGCATATCATCCCTATCACCGCCTTCCCTCCTCCTCCTCCTCCGACGCTGCTGCTGCTCTTGCACTCCGGAGCTCTTTCCATTCACAGGGCAGCCTCGTTTGCTGCTCGCTGTCGTCTGCCGCCGCTCGCCCTCGTCTGCCGCTCTCCGTCGTCCACAGCCGCTCGCCGTCGATCGAGAGACAGAGAGAGGTAAGAAGAGATTAAGGATTTTTGGTTTTGGGCAGGGGGGAGGGGGGTTTTGAGATTAGGGATTTTTTGTTTGGGGTTTGGGATTTTTGGTTTTTGGCGAAGCGGGAATGGGAAAAAAAAAAAAAGGGAAACAGAGCGGGAATGAAAAAAAAATCAAAATCTTTTTTTTTTTATCACAAATGAAATTTAAACAACAAAACAACGTCGTTTAACTCAAAAATTTTCATTTTTTTTTAATTACTAAGATTGAAAATTTATTTGTTTCATTTTTCATTTTAATGAAAAAGAAAATTTTTTTTTTTTTTATTTGGTAGAAGTAGGGGTAATATTTTAATGAAAAATATTTTCCACTAAAATAAAAGTTAATTTTTTGTGGTCAATGAAAAATATTTTTCTGCGGCCCATTTTTTTTTGTTACTAAAAATCATGAACTAATTTTTTGTGGTAGAGAAAAGGGAGCGGCAGTAGTGATGAAGGTGGTGGATAAGAGATGATGGTGGTAGTGGTGGTGATAGCGAAGGAGATTAGTGGTGAAGTTGTGGTGGTGGTAGAGTAGATGGAGTGGCAGGGGTGAAGGAGAGGTAATGGTAGTAGTAGTGGCAATAGTGGTAGTAGTGGTAGTGGAGTGGTGGCGATAGTAGTAGTAATGGTAGTCGTAGAGATGAAGTGGCGATAGTGGTAGTAGTGGTGGTAGTGGAATGGCGTTTGCAGAAGTGGTGAAGGTGGTAGAAGAGATGGGTGGTGAGAGAGAGAGATAAGTGAGAGACAGATAGAGAAGAGAGAAAGAGAGAGAGACAGAGAGAGAAACAGAGACAGAGTGA